GTTGCAGAGATTGGACAGATCCTTCCTAATTTCATTTTTATCACGTAAAGTCAAAGTTTAAAGTCCGAGAAATTATTGTTGCTGCCTTCTTCCTCTTTTCGGATACGTCCCTCATCTTACCATTCCTGCGATATATCTCGATCGGTGCAACCACTGCATTCATGCATGTACCCTTGACGCTCGGTTTCTCCCCCATCGTCAGGTCTCCGAAACTGTACTGCTTTAGCGCTTATCTGTTTGCTCTCCACCGTTTTATCCCAAATCCATATCCCGAGAAAAGTCCTAGCTTCGGCACTTTACAAACACTCTACATTGCCACATGCTGAAGCAACTTTACCGCTTCTGCGTCTTCTCATCGGCTCCTTATTGGCAACTTTTTTTTTTTATTTTGCTTGTAATTTTGATGACAGCGGAGCAGCTATATGTGTTTCTCTTTATTTTTGTTTTTCTTTCCTCTATAAGCCAATCTCTCCTCAATTTTTCGAAACTGTAATCTCATTTCGCTGTCGCTCAATATCCATGTCTGTTATTTTTTGATGCAGCAGCGGCAACGGGCACACATCTGTAAGTAGTGTAAAAGTGAACTTTTGCAATAGGGATAAGTTTCCATTGCAACTGGAATACCGCAACTAAATTTTTAAGATATATGAATTTTAGTGCAGTAATTTTCAGATTTTATACTAACAACAGCAATAAATTCGTCTTCTTACAAGAAGTAAAAGTCATCAAAAAGCACCAAAAAAACATGGAAACATTGCCGTGCACCAAATTACCTGAAGCCATTTGCTGCGGACCATGATCTGTCTTCGTTTCACCGCCAGCAATCTTCATGAAACTTGTGGAAATCTGGCCAGACAGCCACGGAACTACGTACTGTTTCGTCCTGCTGATGGGATTCAAAGAAACGGCGTCTGCGTTTTCGTTGGGCTTCATGCAACCAGCATCTTCCCAGGCTCATCTGTCTTTCCGTCACGCTTAACTTTCTTCGAGGCATGCCTGCTGCCGCGCAAACAGCAGGTTCAGCCGAATCTGAAATTTGACTATTTAACTCAGTAGAAAGATGCATAAACTATCTCTGCGTTTTACATGTAAATATATGCGTCGCACTCCCACTAATTCGTTTCAAATCCCCGCCATCCAACTGCAACGCTGTTTTCTCATTTTTGTTCGTGTTATGGATGCTACACCAGCACATTTTCGTCAGTTCTGTGCTTTTCTCGGACAAAATTTCCCCATACGAAACAAGAAAACCTAAAGTCCCAGAACTGGAGTTCTACAAATATACACACAACACCCCTCCACAGTACGATTTCTTCATAAGCGGATTCGGCGGCACAGGCACCAGTGTTGCAAAAGTCCGGGTCTAAAGCTAAAACTAAAGTAAACTAAGGCCTAAAGTAACTCTAAAGTAATCCTAAGTAACAGTGTACTAGTTTTCGCATAGTTCCAGGGCGAGAGGAGGGGATTCTCCCCACTCCCCGTGTCATCCTCCTCCCTCTTCCGCCCTCCCCTCCCCCCGCCCCCGCAGGAGTCCGTCCTGCATCCATCTACTGATTTCTTGTACTACACGCATTACATACGTGCAAAAACTGCACTGAAAGCACCCCACGAACAAGAAAACGACCCTCCAACGAACACGAAAAAATCAGATTACAAGTAATATGTCAACAATGCTCGTGTAACGGCAACTGATACAGGTAATCACCCAGTGCTGCTCGTGTAGTGCTCGAGTAACGCACAACTGCCAACGGTGCCCACCCATTTATACAATTAATGACCGTTCCCAAATGCAATACTTGAACGTTTTCAGCAGACTGCTTGTATTGATGACTTGTACTCCTCGAACTACACGCATCACATACGAGCAAAGATAGCACTAAAAGCACCCCACGAAGAGGAAAACGACCCCCAACCATGCCACAATCAACACTGAGCAAAACCACAGTTACATTAGATTCAGAAAAATCTGCAAATTTCTAAGAACACCGATGTAGGAGCGTGTAGGATGTGGAGGATCGAAAGAAGAAATCACCCGCTGTAAAAGAGTGCATGGCAGTGGCAGTGCTTGCAGCAAGGGGAAGTTTGCCCACCCCCCTCCCCCTCCGCCCCTCAACGGCATCGTCGTGATATCTCCCCTTTGCTTGTTCTGGTGGTTTTTTTCCATTGTGGTGGTTTTGACGTCCATCTTTCCTCAACGAGGGGTGAAGAGGGCGAGAATTATCGTTAGGGCTGTGTTTATCATAGCCGCCATCAGCTTGCTTCTAAGCAATCCTCGAAAGAAGGGGACCTCGTTCCAGTGGCGCCCTCCCCTTCCCCCCCCCCCCCCCCCC